ACAGACCAAACAGCATTTGCACAGTACATTCACTGAGAGCAGAGGAAAACCACAGCATACAGTGAAGGAGTGATCCCCATTTCCAGACAACCGGCAATGCACTTGGATTTGCTCTTTCCTTCCACACGCTACCATAAAAAAAGCAGCTCAGCAAGAAACACTTACGCTGGGGCTAAAGATGCTCTTAACATTGTAGAAGCCTGGATCACAAAAAGAAAGAAAAGAGAAATCACAGCAGATTAGCCCAAATTTTCACACCAACAGTGTCATTAATGAGGTTCAGAGTCAACTCTCTCCCTGAAATCCTGCAGTTGTTTTGCTACAAAAACCGCATTGCGAATTAGAAACTTCCATCCTTTTCCTTTCTTTTCCCTATATGTACGTATATTATGTATTATTTATATATATACTTATATTATATGTATTTTTATATATATACTTATATATTTTATATATACCTACATATAAAACTATAAATACATAATTATAAGGCTATCTACTCTAGTATAGACAAAAATTACAAGGAACAGCCTATCATTTCTCAGTGATTCTGCCTAGGATTAGTTCAACTTAAACCTCAATATTTCCTGCCTGTTGCACTGTGACAAGTAACGTAGACAAGCACCAATGTTGCACAAGTCAGAACTTACAAATATCAAACCATATAAAAGTTATTCACTTTAATAAATATATTTTCTGTAGGTGAGCATAAATGTGTTTCATATCATGCAATCTGATTACAACTACAAGCCATATTTGCAGAATGTTCTGTGTCCTTTGGGCTGATCTCACTTTCCCCTCACAAAATCTATCATTACCACTTACTCCTTTAAAACTGGTCTTCTCTCATCTAGCCTCTTTCAAGGGGAACTATGTAATCAGCGTCTATTGTCAGATTTAAAACGGAGGGATTTAGAAGACAAAAAGCATGAAATACCATAGAAAATATTGATTTACACTGGTTGACATTCTTGACCACATCAGATTTCACAAGGCTCACAGGTATCCTTCGTAACACAAACAACTGCTCTCTTAGAGCTGAAATAAGCTTATACGCATATTGAAAGGCATTAAATATTATGTTTAACTCAGTGAGTGACCTGGATTAAATGTTTTAACTCAATGAATGACCTGTACACAATAGACAGTTAACAGGTCCTGCACTTCAAAATTAACCTTTCTTGACAGCAGTTCTCTCACACAGTTTATTTTACACAGCAGAAGTCTTGCAAAATAGCATATATACCTACAATGTTTCCACCCTTACTTATTTTTATTCATCTTCTATAGCAGTTTTGATAAGCATCAAGGTTAGTTTTTATTTAAGCAAAACTCTTGCCTTGTTTAAAAATTATCACCTTGTGCCTGCGCACACAATGAAATCACAAATTTTTACAGCCTTCCTCAGTATCTTCCTCCCTTAAAGGAAACAGGGAGAAAAGTGACGTTCTTATATGTTAAAGCAAAAGAAATGACAGGGCCCTTGAAGATGAAAAGACAATGATGAAAACATGATGAGACAACGACCAGTAGCAAGAAAAGAAACAGAGCAGATGCGTGTATGTATGTGTGTATGTTTATGTGTATATATGTGTATATGTATAAAGACATATATATAAGCCCTATGCTTCTCCAAAAAGTCCTTATTACCCAATATTTCTTGCCACCTTAAAAACATATCTTCCAACCAAAATTAAACTGAAGGACACAGAACTGGTGAAGATGCATGCATGCATGCATCATCCTTCCACACAAATAAAACTCTTTGGGGTAAGTGTAGGATTTTGCAAGCTTTTTTAAATTTCAAACTAAAGAAACTTCAACCGGGAAAACGTGAAGATTTTCAAATTCAGTCAGATCGAGCAGGACTCTGAGAGGCCTATTCATTCCCAAATTTATTTTTAAGCAGGCAGATGAAGCCCAGTAAAATATATAGTAAACTTTTACTCTATAATCTATCTAGAAAAGGTACCACAAAATGAGGCAAGCTGTATTTGAGCTCTGAGGACAGGGCTGCTTAGATGGAAGAGACTCCTTGTCTAGCAACCCATTCTAATCCAGCTCAAGATGATCGCCCTCTAGGACCTGAACAAGAGGAAGGTTGTTTCCTTTGGCTCCTGGTGCTACTGGAAAACAGTTATTTCTGTAAAATAAGTTACTTGCCATTGATACACAACTGTAACAACTTTTCTACAAGTGTTTTGGAATTTGTTTAGGCCTGCATTTTAAATAATTTTATGAGAAGAATTGCAGTAAAACACTGCTAGAGATCTATACTTTTTATTATTATTATTGTTATATAATCCTTTGGCTCTCGTGTGATTTAAAGGAGTAGCATTTCAGACGTTGTGCTACTTTGGGACAGGCAATTGAGATGTCCTCTGAAACAGCCATAGAGTATGCTGAGAGGACAGCATCATGTACTCTCCACCTATTGCTAAGCAGGTCAAAAGAGATTTTCAGCTATTTTAATTTTGGAAAAGGTGATCCAAATATAGCATCACCAAGTGCTGTTTTTTCAATTTCCCTCCTCACCCTGTGGGCTCTTCAGCTCCTGCTCCCAGACTCCTGCCTGACAGACCACAATGGTTTGTACCAAGCTACATTCCTCATTTTTAAGGCTGGTGGACTTCCCCACTTGGGCAGCAATGCTCGAGGTAATAGAAAACACTGGTTTATAGACTTAGGTGGAAATTAAGCTGTGGGACCATGACCATGCTCTACCGAGAACTTCACAGCTTCCTTCAGACAAACTTTCTGAATTAGAAGAAATGCAGAGCCTAAAGTTTGGACTAACTGTTGCTATTCCTTCAGCAGTGTTGGTGCCTCCTCACAAGGCACCTTGCCCCAATGTGAACCTGGGCCAGGCAAATGCACATCACAAATTGCCTCTGACTGAGTCTGCCAAAGCAAACAGCACAGGACCCGGCTACCTCAGAGTCGCCTTTCACATTCCACTGTGTGGTTTTTGTTTGCTTGCTTGTTTCTGTTTCTCCTCTTTGGTACTGATCTGAGATGTCCTAGTATCAGGAGATTTGCTTAATTAAATATCTTTACGTAAACTAATCAAAAAAGCTATGTTCAACTCTAGCTCTGGACCCGTGCATTACTTGAAATAAAAACAAAACAAGGCAGCAAATACATCTGGGTCCTGTAAGGGAGCCCTTGGGTTTGTTTCACTGAGGTAAATGTGTTCCTGAGTTGAGCCATATAATCTGATCAGAGGAAAAAAGCAATTTTCTTCACCATTATCGCTGTGTACGGTAGCCCCCAGGCCAAGGTTTCACCTACATTGCTTCTGGCAGCAATGCCGGCTTAACCAGCCTTTATCCCTCACAACACGTTATTCCCAGGCAAAACGAAACCAGGAGCATAAAGTCACCCCATAGAAAAATTCATAACAAAACTCTCCTTTTCTCCAAGTCCTTTGCAAGCTTTAGTAATGACTTTAAAAATGGATTTTCATTTTGCAAGTATACTTAAAAATGTGAAGTCTTAAAATGATTTTTAGACACATATACACTTAACTGCGATTAACACAGACACATTTAACTGAGGGAAAGATTAATATCCAAATCTCAACTGATTTGAATTTGTGCTGCTTTCTGTAATAGTCTATAAAGTCTATACACTAGGCAGGCAGAAAAGACTCTACTTCAGTCTTCTGAGCTTTGATCCTCACCGTTCCTTTATATTCTTTCACGGTGTTCACTCTAAAGCCTAAATGCTGAGCTTGGATATCCAATTGTCCTGTGAATTCCATTTCTGCATTATTTGAAAAAGTATTTGGAAGCAGGAGAAAAAAAACAACCAAGCTAAGTACTTGATATACAGCACTTTGCATTCATAGATCTCAAGGTACTCTATAATAAATAAACTCTTAATATTATTGTGAGGAAAAAATGAAACATTACAATTTTCTCATTCAGGTGATGAAACCAAGGCCATAGACAGAAAATCAAGTAGAATTAGTGGCACTTTTTCCTTCCATAACTTCCATGATAATTCTGGAGAATGCTTCAACCAGCCGATTTTACCAAATATGCAGTGCTTCTCCTCAGCAACAGTTTTCTCAGATTCTAAGGATTTCAGGACATACTTTAAACCAGGCATTTTCTCCCATGGTCTGTTCCCACTCTTACCTTTCCCGAAACAGGTTAGACACTAATTCAACCATGTGAATACGGGCATTTTGCAAACTCCCAGTCAAGGACTGTGAAAAACATACTGCATATGTGACTTATCTGTTAAACATGACACTCTACATTCATGCTTAATCTTAAAATAATTTTCATGCAAAACCTATCAGGGAACAAAATGTTTTTCTGCAATTAAAACATGAGCAGAAACTAGGTGTCTTAAAGTAAGGAAATAAAAACACAGCCCAAGCATAGCTCATTCTGGCAGGATCGCACGGTATGACTTATGTTTGCATTAGTTCTTGCCAAAGCCAAACCAGGTGCCATATTAAGTAAAGTAATTCTGTCACAACGCAGATTAGCTACACATGGCGGCTCTTCATTTTTAAAAGAAGTGATGCCTGAATATGAACAGCATGGAATGAAACAAAAAAGTTTGGGGCAGAGGATCAATATTTGTAAAAGAAAACAAAAGCATTTTCGGTGCAAGCCAAAACCACAACTGATTTTATCAAATCTTGCAGACGTATTCAGACTAATGCTTCTATGTTATTAGATGTATATATGCATAATATGCTGACGCCTAAAACCAACAGCCAGATTCTGACCTCAGTTACCACTCTGGAAAGGTGCTGTAATAGTTCAGTTTAATTTCAGTACAGATTCATAATCAAAAATCAAAGATATCCAATGAATATGTGAAGTATAAAACCCAAGCTTTTACACATCACTGGACCTTACAAAATTATGTCAAGGTCATTTACTATACACTAATGACAACAAAACTGCTACACGCAGCTTGTGATGAGTTTGATTCTGAGCTTGCGTAATCTGCATTCTCTATTGGGGCTATCCACATTTATTTCACAGGAAGACCTACAAATGTTTTGAATTAATTTGCTGGGGGTTTGTTTGTTGTATTTTTAACTACACTAGAGATCTGCTGTAATTAAAGCTTCCTACTTTGCATATAAAAAATGATCATCAATGGGAATAAGCTGCTTGATGCAGATGACCTCTTGATCTCCTAACATGGGTGAATGTGCCCACTATTCACTGGGTCAGGATTAACAGAAACACTAAGGAATAGCCCATCGCATCCAGTAATTCTGTGATTCTATTTCTCTGAAGAAAAGGTAGTTTTAAATGAGAAGCTGAGTGCATATAGACATTACTATAGTTTCAGGTGAGGAATAAATTTGAAAAAAGTACCATTTCTCTTTAAGTGTGAAATCTTGTTTTACCCAAAGAAAAGGGGAAAATATACAAACATGGATGATTTTGGAGAATACTTACTGACTTTTTTTAGAAGAGGTGTCAATCACTTTTATGATTTGATTACATCCTGTGTTACTCAAAAGTAGATTAATTTCCTTTCTTTACAAAGAATGCACTGACTATGGGCAAAATTAGATGCTTATGATGTACTTGTAATATTGCCAGAATACAAAGCTCCATCTGGACTGCAGAAGGCACAGGCATTACGAAAAATATTGTTTTTTTCAGTTTTCAGTGAAAGAGGATCCACTTTAATTGCATGAAACTGTGTGATAACCTGAACTACAGGGAGAAAGTTTCACTTCACAGGTTAAAATTAAGAATACAAATAATTAAAATTGTAAGATATAGCACTGAGAAGAGTACAACTCTGTTTTTATTATCTGAGCAACATTACTTTTCTGCTTACTCAAAGATGTTGTGGGATCAGTTAAGTGACAGCACACTTCAAAGATATCATATACTATCCACACCGACCTTCCAAGAGAGAAAACAATTGCATTCTGCACATTATAAAGAAGCTGTGTCTCATGTAAGAGTTGTGGCAAAGTAGCTTTTTTGTTGACATGCTTTGTTACATGTATTATGAAGCTCCAAGTTTACTCAAGAGTTTTTTATGTTCTTCATGCAGAAATCCCAAACCATATACATCTTTGGTTCTTTATAAATCATACAGTTCATGTCATGACAAGTTAAAACACAAGGAAGTTTGTTAGACATTGTGAAAGGAAGAGAAATATGGACTGTGACAGGCTACAGCAGGCAATGTGAAAGGATATAAAGATATAGACACTTACATATTCGTCATCACAAGGGCTCATAGAGTAATATCCCTTTATGGGCAAACAGGCACACATTAAAATAAAGAAGATTAAAAAAAACAAGTTAACAGAAATAAATCACAGAGAATTGCACAGTTCTAAAAAAACAGCAAGCAAAGTAAAATTAGCTAAAGATTAACAGACTACTAGCCTTGGGGGAAAAAAAAAAAAGTATAAGCCCCTTCTTCCATTCCATGTATTTATGTGTTTTAGGACTGGTATCAGGGACTCTCTAGGGACATTTATATTACAAGCTCTCCTTCCAATACTTGGCAAACATACCTAGTCTGCACATTTTGCAGTATAACTGTCAGCTGGAATAGCTGCATAACAAGCACTGACCCATTTATGGAGACGGATGAATTGTGTTGCTGACTACACTAAAGCAGTTAAAAAGAGAGATACTAACAAATGTGATACTGATCAGAAGACCTCAGTTTCTGGGAAACTAGCTCTAAGTATTCTCCATCCTTGCTTTGGTTGGAGTTTCTCACCAGCACACAACGAAAGCTAAGAAAAACAATTTGAAGTGTTTCAGCAATGTTTCAATTCCTCGTTCCAGAATGCTTTAAAGCTAAACTGAAGCAAGGTCTCTGGAAGGAAGCCTAAGCTTTAGATACCTATAAAATGGTCCTAAGATAAAATTTCAGCATAATCTCTGCTTTGAGTAGTCTAGTACAAATATGCCGTCACTCTTTACTTAAATATTTAACTGATAAAATTTACAACAGGTTGATATCAGTCTTAACTCAAAATATAAGTATACAGTACAACAGTACAATACAATGAAATATAACCAACATTATTCTGCTTTGTGTGTGTGTGTATGTGTGTGAAAAAGCTGCCAATACTTACTTTAGAGGACATACTTCTGCATATGAATAATCACTGTACAAACAGGATATTTAGCAGGATCCTTTCTAAGAGCTTTATACAGCTTTATGCTGTTCTTCCCAAAGAAGGTATGAGAACCTCGCTACTAATCATTGTCAGAAATAATATTTCCTGTATTCTTTAGAAAAATTTTAAATCCTGATATTTTTCTTTTTATTCCTTTCATCCAAGATTCCCTGTTGTGGATAAGAATTCAGCTCTTCCAGAGCTTTGCAAAGTCCCTGATGAAGACTGTTTAAAAAGGCAAAAGACAAGATGGATAGAGACCTGTAAGTGAGCAGAAGAAACCAGGAGACCACCTTTAGCATGATGGAAATGACATGACATGAACCGGTGAAAATGTCTGTAAGCATCAAGAAAAAGATGATGTTAAAGAAGAATCTGAGAACAGAAGAGGGTAACTTTGTGAAAACCACTACAGATGATAACATCTTACCTTTACAGACCAGGGTTTTATGAAAACACAGAAGATGCCCAGTTCACTGCAGGTAGTAGCAATGTGCAGAAAAGGCATCATATATTGTGTCAACGGGAGAAAAAAAAAGAATTTTCTTTTGTTCACATGAAAAGGCAGGTTGGTTTCTTTAGTATCATATATGAGAGGTCACATACAAGAGTCATCCCACAGGCAGGGAGGGAGAAGACACATATTCCATCCCAATAAAGTTTTAATTAGGGGAAATGCTGTTTGCTGTAATGTGTATTTTGTTTTGAAATGAAAGAGGGTGCTTCCACGTAATGCTTGGTGAATCCTCTCAGAATAGCCAATAATAATAAAAAGACTTCTGTTACTATGTCTCCTAGGTTTCATGTGGACACCTGGTGCAGAAAATATTTTTACAAATAAAAAACAGAATGTTTTCCACCAACTATTGCAGCTTGATAGCATGCTCATATTTGAAATAAAAAGCATGTTTGAGGAAAAAAACTGCAATCAAAGACCACAAGAAAGAAAGCAAATTCAAAAAATTGCATTTAAAAATCTGATTTACAAATAGTTTGTAAGCAGCAGCCTAACTTTATAGAAAAGCTGGTGTCCAATGAAAGAATTAAAAAAATATATATTATTATTTCTTTAAAGCTTTCTAAGAACTATGCCAAAAGAGATCTAAAACTTGCTAGAAAGATAAATACAATTAAATGGAATTACAGATAAACACAATTAGACTGCAAGAAAATACAAATAGCAGTGAAAAAACGACAGGAGCTCATTCTATTCCATAACACAGGCAAAATGTGTGACCAACTATGTTGCTTTCTACTCACAGAAGGACTCCCAGGTGCTTAAGACACAGCTCCTCTATTGATGGAACCTGCACAACCTAAAGTACTTCCTGCAACTTCTACCTTAATCAGAAAGTTATGGAAACTCAAGTAATCCTGAGTTTTAAACATTTTAAACATTCCTTTCACTAGATGATGCAAAGATTTCTGTGATCATGTACTCAAGATGAATGCCTTTTAAAATGGGCATTTCAGAAAAACCACAATAAGTGATGAATAACTCATAAAATTTGCATATGATAGGGCACAAAGCAGTACATTAAACTGATTTTCTTTTGTTTAGGACAAAAGCGTGCTGTGTCAGGTGATTTAGATAACACAGAAGTTGAATTTCCTTCCTGGGTCTTACTCTGACAAAGAACAAAGACTTTCATTTCACCTTGTTTAGTGTGTGGAAAAAATCCTAATGAAGACAAGTTACAGCTTCAACCTGTATTTCTCTCCCAGTTTGTCTGAGTCTCTTCTGACTGAATTTTCCTGATTCCATGTTAAAGGGAAGGAGAGTATTTGTATTCTCAAACAGTACTTGAAGTAGATACAAAAATAATCTTTGGCCTAGAATCACTGTTAGCAGACCAAATTCTAATAAGAGCTGTTCATGAAAAGACTTCATCACAAGGGACACTGTACTCTTTAGAAGTACTTTTAGAATATATTTTATAGAAGTACTTTTAAAGTACTTCTATTGAAAGACTTTCCCATTCCTAGAGGTTCTCAAGACTCAGCTAGACAAAGCTGTGATTCAGAAAGCCCTGCTCTCTTACTAGTCCTGTCTCTGACTGATGCCTTGCATGCCAGGTATCAATACCAGAATTTTTTTTCACATCTGAATTATGGCACATTAGTGCAAGTGTTTACCATTAGAAACTAACAAGTCCCAAGGACAGGAGATGCATCTTTTTCAAAGCACAGAGCTGAAGCAGCACAGCCAGTTTTGCTCAGCTAAAAGCCATAAACTCAGTCTTGTGATGTTTTGAGCACTAATCCAAGAAATTCCAGGAAGGTGTGTAGTCCAAGTTGAATCAAAAAATCTATTTGTGGATGTAAGACCAAATTTAAGAGCTACACTGGACAAGGAGTGATCCACTTTGGAGGATCAAATACCAGCTGATAAAAGGGAAAATCCTTTTGACTTCATGATATGTGTTAGACAGCTGCAGGCATCAAAAGACTATGACCCATGCTTCCTAGCCACCAAACAGATCACTATTAGAAAAAAAAATAAGACCTCACATAAGTCATCTCAAGAATATTAAAGATATGATGGACCATACTAGAGAACTACATTTTAACATGTTCTTTTTAAAATCACCCAGCATTATCCATATCAGTTTCCTGTCCAAATGAATATTAGGAAGTCAAGCATCAGATTAAATCTTCATATTAGTGTTTCCTTCAACTTGTCAGAACCAGTGCTTTGACCTCCTAGTCTTACATTTGGACCTTTTGCTCTGACAATTCTCCAAAGTCTCTTATCTCCTAATTCAGACCACATATGTCAAACAACATGATCAAAGATGGGGATAACATTCAATTGCAACTGGGAACAAGCCTTCTGGTAAGGTATGGCCCTACAGAAGCCCAAGGAATATCTTCCAGTTGTACCACAGTGCTGTGGTCTCTTCCCCAATCCATACACCAGATGCATCCTGTTAATGGCTTATGGATTGAGCTCACAAGCCAACCCAGGAGGTCACTGGGCAAGAGAGAAGCATAAAATTACTCTACAATAGAATGAGATCCAAATCAGCTTGCAGGAGAGCATGAGGCAACAGTCAACGCTAGAAGCCCTGTGCTGGCTAAGTAAGATTTTGCAGGTACGACTATGCTGGCAGTCTCCTCATTAAGAGACATCACCGCTGCAGTCTTAAAGCTGAACTCTGGACTTTCTCTTCCTCAAAGGAATTTCTTCCAGCAAGACCTTCAGCCACAGAGGGCAAACCAGGAAGTAGATGACTGTCCAATAACAGCATACCTTAATAAGTGATACGTGCAACCTTTATTATAATTCCAAAAGCCTGAGACCTCAAGGCTTTATATTACACAACACTACTTTCCTGACAATGAAAAAAAAGTACAAAGTACAATGCACTGGGAACAAAATCAAGTTTGCAGACAAATAATGCTACCAAGGACATAATCCAAGGTATAATCTTTAATTTTCTTTGGCAATATTTCATTTTGGCTATAGCACTCATTCTCCTTCCCAGTATATCCTTACATTACTAATGCAGTATAACTGATGCAAAAAAAGGTGCAGTAGAGCCCTGGTGTCCATCTTGGATCACGATGCTGCAATCTGCTGGCTAAGTAACGTCAGCTGTGCACTGAGCTGTGGATCTGTAACTTTGCAGTAACTCAGAATTGTCTCTCTGCAATAGAACGGCATGATAATTTCTTTCCCTTCTAAACCCAGTTCCTAGGTATACGCTTACACCTACACTTGATACCTCAAGGATAAAAATTTTGAAAAGGTGACCTCTCCTAACGGCCCTTGGGATCTTCATTTCCCAGCAAGGGGCACGAGCACATACTCATTGCTTCCAGCAGTTGAAGTTACTGGCAGCTTTAGCAATTTCTGCTCTCACAACCTGCTACCAAACTTGGATCCTTCCCCAAATTATGCACTTGTGCAGCCGATTGCAAACTTAAAGAAATGTATGTATAGTCATCCACAAGGTAAAAGTGATATTTATAGCTGCATACAAGCTAATCAAGAGGAGAATTTCCAAACTAATCATTTTGTTTTCTCTAGATCTGTCTGAACTAGTTTGTTTAGGGATGCAGCCGGCCCAGATATCAGTGAAGTTGACGAGAATATTCAAATATTCAAAGCACATGTAAACTAAAAAGGTTTAATCAATTTTGTTTGCAAAGCAAAAGCAAAGTCAAGTCATATTTAATGCTTGCAAAAAGTCTTTAGAAAGGGACTACAGACTTTCTTTTCCAAACTCACACTTACAGAGCCTACACAGTGACCCAATGGTGAGGAAGAGCCAAGGGCGCTGCCCGGCTGCTGGTCCCTTCCCTCGCTGCTACAGCCTTGTCATCCCTGCAGCAGGAGTTTGGTCAAATGGTGCAGCTCAAATGTCCACACGCCAGTATCCCTGTGTCTCTGATCAGTTTAAATAGTGAAGGGATCTTGCAAAACAAGGCCAGCACTGACACTGCAAACTCCTGCCACTGCTTAGCCTGGGTCACGACACCTCCAGCTTTATTCCAAAACTCCTGTGAAAACCTGAAATCACTTAAGGACACAAAATAACATCCAAGTGTATAACAATGAGGTAATTTTAAAGGACCAGCAATAAGTTGATTTAGCAGCCTGGAAGCAAGCTGTGTGAATTCGGTTTTTAGTCAGTGTCTTCCAGCTTCCTGAATCAACAAAGCCAGGGAGTGGTGAGAAGTATTTGGGGATGAAGATGATAATGGTGGAATCTCATTTCTCTTCTTTTCTTATATGTATATTTAAGTTTCTATATGCTTGCTGTTCAAGAATCCAAAGTAATCATGAGAAGCACAGTTCTTTAATAATATTTTCTATTTTCTTCTTCCATTTAATCCGCAGAGCAAAAGGATCAGAGCAGGAAACCTTTCCACGATTCAGCTAAGGTCTACAGTGAAGACTGATTAGCCCTGTTCCCCAAACATGGCTAAGGCCTCAGACAGCTTAAGTATGTGGGTCTGCTTGTACAAACAACACTAGATTGCAACCAGTAACTAGTATAACCTCAACGTCAAGCAGTGAGGAGTGACTTAACACAGTCAAGGAATCCTTGAAATAAATAGACTGACTGCTATAGTTGTCCTGGTCTTTCACTAGAAGAGCCCTGTTGACAGAGCTACAGCATCAAAGAACATGGGAGAGCCATAAACTCACACAGACACAATTATGTTAGCACAGCCTAGCATAAAAAATACATCCAACTGTGTCAGAATAACACAGCTCTACTGAGTTTAACCTAGCTAATTTGAGCTGGAGCAGAGACACAAATTTGCCTCCAGGAAGGCAAGGAAACCACCACCAACAAATCCTCTTTCTCTGACTGATCTACATAGTGGAGTACTTTGCTGAAGTGGCCGCATTTGCAAAACTAATGCGGCAAAGGCCCTTTTACAGAACTTTTAGACACAGCTTTGGAGAAGGAGTAAATAGACATGATGCACAGGATGGACTGTCATTTCCCAGGAAAGCATCTTTTATGAGAAGGGAACGGAGGCAGTAAGGCAGGCAAAGCATGAGAGCTTGTGCTATCCTTTCGGAGGCCCAGCCAAGCATCTGACAGAGGGTCAGACGCATCTGCCCTGATCTTTAAAAACTTCCTATGACTGAGCTTCTTGCTGAAGTACTGTGTTTATACAATGTTGCCTACGGAAATCTTCAATGATCACTTATGAGTCTTAAACTTCAAGTCCTTTTTCATGGAGAATCAAAGAGGTGCCTATACTTAAAAGCTAAAAGGCACAAAAATAGGCATCTATGCAAAAATAGCCTATGTGATTGAGGCACAGAAAGACATCTGCAAACTAGCAATAATCCACCCAACTTTTACTAGTGAAGAAACCTGCAGACACTTTTGCATTCTCTACAGAGTGGATAAAGAGACAACTTGGCATCTGCCATAAGGATGACATTCCTTTTTTCCCTCTGCCCATCTCCCAGAAGGGTTTAAATGATCAGAGGGTCAGTCTGGCTCAGAGAAAGAAAAGAAATAATAGTGAAACACTGGACACATGGTGCACCTTGAAAGTGTGGAGAGAAAGAAAGAGAAGCTTTGATGCAAGAGAAGTGCAGGAACAAACAGAATAGGCTCTTAGGGAATGGGTGATCTTGGCAAAGGAAGTGGGAGCAGAGAAACAAATATAAGAAGTTCTAGACTCCTTCCTGACCCCCTCGGGACATTCAGCCTGCAAAACCTGCTAGTGCTGCCACCTCCTAAATACATGGCGAGTCAGAGAAGGGAGCTCTGACCCTGAAGATGTGAAACAAGGGTATTAAAATGCTTGAAGAGCAATGAGGAATATTTATCTCTGAAAAAGTTAACATAGAGAAAAAGTAAATGGAACATTTTTATAATTTCCTCATTCTCCTGTAACAGATTTTCAAGGAGAACAAGATGTTCCCATAGTGTCACTGTTATTAAAAACTTTGGCTAGAACAAGGAGCAAGAGTCCTTTTTTTCTGCTCTTCTCTCAACAATTCATAAACCATCTTATTACACAGTAAGTATGGATGAATGTCATGGCAAAAATAATAATTGCAAATCATGACTTTGGCTTGACTTTTTAAAGTAAACAGTTTTTTAATATTGAAGTGTTTGAACACAATTTTCATGTTAAAACTTATTTGAAAACCATTAAGTTAGAAAAAAAAATCAGCAAGTATTTTAAAAAACTGTGCCACTGAATGATGTTTATACTAGGCCATACCATAATTTAAATTTCATGTCCCCCAGGAACAGCTTCACTGTCACTAGAAACTACCCTAATCTGCTTATACTGCTGGAAAAAAAAAAGGCAAAACTGCTTCTTTCAGCAGCAGTGCCAGCTTATAAAGTGTCTGTGAATCTATTACTTCGGCTGTAGAGAGGCCAACTTTGAACTGGCACTCACACTTTCAAAATCCCACTAAACACACAAATTTCTGTTCCCAGCTGGCCCTAAATGAGGCAGAGAAAGAAGGTATGAGAAGATGTATTGGGGTTTCACAGCAACCACCTGAAAAGGAGCAAGAGGCAGGTGGAGTAGGAAGACGCCCTACACATCCTGGGCTGCTTATTAGTAAGATCAAGGGTCTTTACCTATGGAGTTAAACCCATAATGTAAAGCAACAGGATGGTTTAGGCACATCCTCTAAGAGCCAACCTAACAACCAGCTGTTACAAAGGGGATGGTCGTAAGAGTATTGCTGGCAGCAGAAGGAAACAGAGCATGTGTCCAGAGTTTAACAAAAGAACCGCTTTTTAGCTAAACTAAATTGGCTTAGATGTGCCATCAAACCACGCTCAAGACATTAACCTGTGTTTTTATAACATCATTTAGCATTTAAGAGAGACACAACGGACTCTGCTATGATAACAACAAAGTTAATTAAACATACGCAGTTATGCCTGTGTACCTGTTGCATTTACCAGCTGAGACCAACAATCTGCTATACTCTTATGCAAGCTTGAACATAATAACTTTTGTCTTTTACAATCTCACTTCCCATGTTCAGCATATAGATTAACTCGTACTGTCTTTCCAGATAGCTACTACAAGAAGAGCAAATATTGATACTTACCGTCCCAGGCCTTGTGAAGTCAATACTGTGGGCTACACTCTGTCTCATCTGATTGCTAAACAAGCGAACACAAACACTCTGAAGATACTCTGGAGTGATCTAAAAAATTAGGAAGCATACCAATAGAACAGGATTATATAAGACTTGCACTTTATATCAGTCAAATATTTGCATATTTTTTTCCTCTTTGTAAGAGCTAGAAATCACAGATCTCAGATTTGCTGAGGGAAGTACAAGGTGTATACAACAAACTACAGTTTTGTTCAGGAACTAACTATAAGTTCTTCTCACCTGGGAATAATTAAGCTATTTACAAGACTTTCTCTAAACATTTTCTCTCAGAGAGAGAAGACAGACTGTATCTGTCACACACATTTGTATACACAGTTTCCTCACTCAAAAAGCTAAGTTCTCCTACAGTAAGTATGAAGCAGTTTTACACTTCAGACTTAGGCAAGGATATGCTGAAGTGTCGTCTATATGAAGAGAAGATCTGAGATCACTCAATTATGCAGAAAAGAGAATAGACATGAGACAGTAGAGGACTCTGTTTTAATACAAAACATCTCAGAGTTTTTAGGGGTTTCTCTATTGTTGTTGTTTTGGAAATCTTTATCACTGTAGGGTTGCCTAATTCCAGACTAGTCAATGACTTTAAAACAGAGGTCAGAAGACTGAGACTACTCAAACGCTCGAATCTCAGCACCTCTTGCTGAATTTAAGGATTCTCGGATCTGGACACCCAACCCCTGGAAACTTAATGCATTTTCAGAAGCCATGAAGCTTACTCGTCCACCTCCAAGAAACACGTACCATGGTATCAAACTCTTGCAGCAGCAGAAGCTGCTTTCAGGATCTCCATCAGCACTCACATAGTATAGAGTAAGTATGCAGGGGAGAGGGGAAAGGGAAATAGGGACATGTCTGATATCCACTATCCTATGGCGAGACAACAAAACAACTTTGGAAAGTTGTAATTTCAACGTTATTTTATTCAGTGCCCAATTCCACTTTTTTATTCAGAAAAGTGACACAAGCCAAGTTCATAAAGAAAGAGCACCATCAGCTGGACACATTTGGGAAGGACCAAATGACTGCCTAGTATAAGGCTTACACAGGAAATCAATAAATCATCGGCAAAAAAAGGTAAACAGAACCTAATTCCTGCACTATAGAACACAAGATATTGCTGTGAAGCACAATGAAGCATGAAATGGGAGGCAGCAAATGAATGACTGGCTGTTTCTTACTGTTTCAAGGCTCATCTGAGTAGACATGTTTCCTAATCTGCTGTAAAGCATCATCCAAACCTACAGCCAAACTCTACCACACAGCAGTGATGTGCACAGACAAGTGATCCTGACTCTCAGGTAACAAAGCACAAGATCATCTCGTTGAGGACAGCAGAAGGTGTGTACTGACATGGCACAGCATCCCCAAGGCCATTCTCCATGCCAGCAGTTCATAGCTCCCTTAATAGCATCTAAGGGCCACTAATGTCTGCCATAAAATGGTTAGGCTGAAGTTATAGGAAGACTCTCTCAGCCCAAGCAATGTTTCATCAGTAAAAAGACACAGTACTTAGAAAAATGCTCATAACTATAAAAATTAATTCATGTTTTAGTGTCATGCTCAAAAAAAAGCAAGTACACATTTGAGTTGCCTCTTACCATCTTGCCATTGACTGTGGCCTCCAAGGAATCCACGAGCTCTGCAGTGACCCCAATGAGATTATGGTAGTCTGCCTGCATTTTGTTAAATCGTTTCAGGTAGGTCATGGTCCTGTGCTCAGACTCCACTAACTGTTGATGAAGCTGCTGTAAGATTTCTGTAAAGAGATTAATAAAAAGGAAGTAACTTCATCTTCTCAACTGAAAGAGGAAACCAACACTGAAAAAGAGTTTTATGGCTCTGATGGGAACAACAAGTTCATATGCTGCTATGGAATTATTTTTATTCTAAGAGTTGGCTCTACTACAAGGATAATTCCAGACTATTGGTATGACTTCAGTTCATCATGGCAGCAACAAACATTTTTCTTGATTGTCCACAGAAATTGCCATCACAATTCCTTTAGTCACAAATTTCAGCCATACAACTACCAGACTCAACATCACTGAATATACAAGTGCAAAAGATACATTTTAGAATAGTAGAGTATGGGTATGCTAACAAAAACAGGTCCACGCTATCGTGCATATCATGCAGCTATGATAGATAAGCTCCTGAGAATTCAGGTAGAGCTATTTAAAACATAACTGTGCTTAGATAACCATCTGCTCCCCTCTTCTGAAGCAAGGCACAAATCCTGTCCCATTTCCCAGTGGCTAGCACAGGAATGGAATCTTCCACAGAGGGAAAAATCAGAAAATAAAAATACTGCATAAGCACCATGGCTCATCTGGCAGAGCCTTCGCAAGCTGTCTTCTGCAATGGTAATCCAATTACATTACAGGTGACATGCTGATTATACGCAAATATCTGCCAAATAACTGTCTGGAAAGTTACTTTCTGACGAACTGCTTCATAAAGTAATAAACATATGGACTTATAAGACATAAAAGTGTCAGAATAATACTAGTCAGATAGAACTGCTAATAAAGCTTTCATTATAAATGAAAAAGAAGTTATTAGATCTCTAAATTCTGATATTGGAAATTGCTTTAAGAACTTTTCACATCTTATTTTTTAAGGGTTTCTGGAATAGGCTGCTTTTATCTCATTCATATGAAAAGCAACATATGATAGAACTTCTGCCATATATTTAATATATGGTACAATATGGCAGTTTATATTTAATTTCAGAAACTTCAGCTATCTTTTCTTTTAGAGAAAAAAAAAGTGCATTTATAAACTTTAGCTATAAGCTTCAGATCCATACACTGACAGTTTAAAATAAAGCACAGAATGCAGAGAAGGTGCCTTCTCTTACCTCTAACCGGCATCTTTCAAAATTTTACATATAAAAAATCCAGACAATTATTTTACTCTCACAGCCTGCTCCCCTTTTAAGGGAATTATTTTGAGTATCCGTTATTAACCACAGCACTGGGCACCTGCAGGACTTGTGACTGACACTTAGTATCAAACTGCAAGTTAAGCCATTCTAATTATTTTGTTCTTATGCTTTCCAGGATGGAAATCACAGCAGAGCTTGTGCCAAGCTACAGGTCCTGATCACCCCCACCAAAATAAAGGCCACTGATAAAGCTCCCAGTGACACAATAAGCCAACTGCTGAAAGAGGTGGTCGCACACTGCCCTATTCCTGCTCTTAAGACTCCTGCCTGATGCCCATGATCAACAGCAGCATTTAGGTGGCCAGATGAGGGAGCCACCGCTCCAGGTACAATCATTTGCTTGCTGGCTTAAAATGCTAAATTATTGCAGCCTGGGTCAGTACAGGGGAGAAGGGAGAGGCTTTCAGAGGTGATACTGCCAAAATGAAGATGCTACAAGATACCAAAGATGCATGATACATCTCCTAAACCTCTGCAGCCTTCTACCTTTTTCTCTTGATTTCTTCCTATTAACTCATGCAGGTAACTCTCCATTTTCACCTGCCAAGCCTCTTTAATGTCTTGGCTCTTGTTCCTTTGTGGTTCCGCAGAGTTACACATACATACATATCCTCACAATAAGCTTTTCAAGTGACATTTCAGACTGCACTTCCTCCCACCCTCTCCTTCCCCCCAAGCATGGAAGAGTGGTTAAAGGCTCATTCAAGATTTGCAATGAGGCAATAGAAGGGACAGGAGCTGAACACCTTCCGAACACTCAATTCTCTCCATTCCTGTCTGCACACAGGAAGTCATCCTGCAGCAGGCAGGAAAGGTAAACATGCTAAGCACTCTAGCACATCCTCAAGAGCATAAGCATCATCCTCCAACAGTGAGTGTGTACTAGGGATCTCATGGGAGCCGAGAAACATGCTGCAAAGCTAAGCTCTCAGATTTCTTCCATGCAAAACGGGCCTCAAATAACCTTTAAAAAAATCTAAATTGCTTTAAGCTCCAAGACACATAAGAGATCTACAAATGAAGGCTTACCCTCACAAATTCAATACCCTGAGAGTCTCTCCTTGCACAGGACACAGAACTTGCTCAAATGAAAAATAATCAGGCCCCAAATAATTCAGGCTTAATCATGTAGTTATTTCATCTCACTATGGAATTACTGCCTTCAGAAAAGTTTGTTATGAGGAAAAAGAGTAACCTTCTGAAAATAAAGATCTACAAAGATAACTATTAGTCAGTGAAAGTCTAATGCAACAAAATAACAAAGGAAACATCTGGAACTCACACTGGGAGATGAGCCTCTCTTTTTAACACAATCTACAAATCTACAATCAACAAATAATAAATCCTCAAGGTAAAACTACAGATTAAACCAAATTCAACAGGAAAAGTCATTTTATGATCCCAAGCTGGTCTCATATAAATCCCTACCAACAAACTGAACCTGGAAAGTCAAATGAAAAAAGAATGTAAGGGAAAACTAGGAACCTAAGTTCTATTTATTGAATTAATGTTTAAAAGGCACACACTTCAAGTACCATCAGCATCTAATGAGATTTAGTGCTCAATTTTTTTTTAAATGAACCTAAGCCACTTGACACTTTCAGGGCAGAATAGGCTTAAAATCCAAACCCCTCTGAGACCCCTACCATTTTTAGTTATGTGCCTGTGCTCAGCCCTGAGGAACTCAACCAGTTCAGCAATAACTATTACCAAGATAAGGAATTTGCATCCCCTTAACTACAGCCCCTAACAACGTACTAATCATAGGGAACATCCTTACCACATCCCAACACTCACCTTTGTTACACTGTCCATTCTCCTTCTGTTGTAGGAGAGAAGGCGTAATTCAGGAAAATGTGTCCCTTCAGTAAGTGTTTCTGCCATATACATGGACCAAGATATTCAACCATTTGGAAAACCCAACCAAGCCAAATATCTCTACTGTTCCAGACAGCAATCACTACCTGATGCTTCACAGGAATGCAAAAATTAGTAAATAAAAAACTCGTAAGGCATCTAGCCAAGTGCCGAATGTTATAAGAAGACATAAGACTTCTTTTTTCTGACCTCTGAAGATATTAAATTCAGCCCCCATCCTGACATATAAGATATGGTCACTCCAAACGTAAAAACATGCAAATAGTTTAGGGCGCTTTATACCAAACAAATGCAGAGGGCTCAGTCAGGATCCAGTCCGTGATTCCATAAAAAGGAAGGAATAAGAGGAGAGAATTTCTCTTCAACTCTTCTATGCCAGATTACCACACCAAGAGCCATAACACAGGACTAAAAGCAGTCACTTTAGGTCGCTGACTCCCTCCCCAGCAAATCAACAGGAATGGAGCATAGAATAACATTTCCAACTCAACACCAAAAAGATAAGAAAAAAAAAAAAAGACTCAAAGTCTCCAGTTTAGTCCTCTCTGCCCTGCCTTTAACTGTACTGACCAAAAATGGAGAAGGCAGTCTTGTCACACAGCTATATACTCCACAATTAAGACCTAAAAGCACAGGATTTTCAAACAATATTCTTAGAAGAAAATAAAGTCTAAAGCTCAGCTCTTAGTAAATAACAATTTCCAGGATCCTTAAAAGTCCTGGAAAAAATCTGGCTAGTCCCTGAAATAGTTAATTGAAAAGACTAACAACTTTACAAATGCTAAGAAGGCAGGTCAGGATGGTGCCTTTGGGTATCCTATACTTCATACGTGGAAATAAAGAATGGCTGTACAACAAATATGCAAGTTCCCATGCATCCATACATTGAGACAACTTGTTCAAACAGTTTTTCTGGATGTGGACTGTAAACATGGTTTCCTACTCTAAAAAATACCATGCAGTAACATTACTACAATTATGCAACAAATTCTAGCAACATCCACTTCCAATAAGTTATAGAGCCCCTTTACAATAATTCTAATGATCTTTAAAGTGTTTTCTCAAAAGGATACAAATAAAGTGAGAAGCCTGGGTGTCTGGCTGGCTTTGAGAGTCAGAGACAGGAACTTTTCCAATCTTGTCCTTAAATCCAATGTCCAAGAATCCTTGAAAAGAAAAACAAAGATGACAGCTGATCACCAAATATGTACACTTATGTTGACAGTACTATTTGTATTGCAGCAACCTTCCCTGCTGGTAAACAAAGTGGCCAACACTGTAGTGAAAAGATCATTCTTCACTATTACTGAAGAGAATATGTGCACACAGAGAAATTAGAAGTGAATTTCATATTATTCCTAGACAAGAGTTCTAAGAACATGACATAGCATTATTGCAATGTAAAATTACTATTCTAAGTAATCCTATTAGACTAGGTGTTGGTGTCTTGTACAGACATGCAACAATTGCCTTTAAATTAGAAGTATTTTTAAAATATAAACAAGTTGAGCAGAAAATAAGAAGATGAACACAGATTCACTTTCTTTAATGGAGCACAAAAATATTTTTTTTTTAAAGAAATCACTGTATTAATCTTTCTTCAATGAGATCTGGAACTGCTAGATTTTGTCAAAAACTATTATAAAGGTCATGACACGATAGCGGTGGTCAGGGTAAAACATTTCTAAGATGGATTTACAGAAGAAAACAATTCATGTATGAAAAATGGACTAACGTATCACCTAGTACCTGAAATCTTATCTTCCCCTCTGTCTGACATAAATTGTCTGTTAAGCACGAGAAATCACTGTTACGGAAAAAAATACATCTAAGAATCATTCTGATTACTCATTTCTTCTGCTTCAGACCTTCATTTAAACTGGTTTCTGTTTGATGGAAAACTAGTCACCAGGTGAAAAACAGTATTTTTCTACAAGTAGGAGCTTCCTGAATCTGCTGCTCTGTGTGTGTGCGTATATACATAATTTTATACACACACATATGTATAGGTATGTATGTAAGCATGCATGTTGCAAGCTGTTCTTACAGCTCAAATTTGCTCAAATTTTACCATGTTGGAGAGCGTATAGGATTATACTTGCCACATTCATCAATTCAATATCAAGACATTGGTACATTACAGTACACTGCATATTACCGTAGGAACCACGATTCTTAAAGAAAGGAGTCTATCTTATTTTTTTGAGGTATAAACCCAATAAATAAACCCAAAACTCCAGCTGTACAAAGCAGCAGACACCCAATTAAAAAAAAAAAACAGCAACAAAAAAGTCCAAACCTGCAAGCACATTGCTTAGTAGATTAGTGACCTACTGCTGTTCTTTCCCAATCACAAAACAATCTGCTTCAAGACTAAGGAGGATTCAAGTTGTACAGTTCCCACAAGAAAACATGAGTGACTAGACTCAGAGCTTGGACACCGAGTTACTATGAATAAACCTGACGGTCTTGTCTAAGACAAGGCATTCAGAAAGAAAAGCTGGTAAGTATAATTAAAAAAAAGAAGAGTATTCATGTCCTGTCTCTGAGATCAACCAACACGTCTCATTATTTATAACTAGTCCCAAAGGAAAAGGCAGTATATGCCTTTTTTGGTGTTAACTGGAGCTCCTCATCAGCTGGTATGTCTAAAGTCAATCCTAGGGTAAGTATCACTTAAGCCTTCATTTGATGTCAAAAAGCACTTGGCAGCATTGCAGGCAAAAGAGATCTCCCTCCCACCCGAGCTGCTTGCACGAGCCATCACAACTGCTCCTGTGGTAGGGCAGTGAAGCACACAACCATATAATCCTGCAAAATATTAGATATATATTTAATTTACATAGTTTTACAAATTTGTGTACGTGTGTGCAAGAGTATGTACATGGGAGTATGTACATGTATATAACACCCCTTCATATGCAGTAAAGCATATGATCAGTTCCTTGATCCAGGCCAAGGGCAGCTGCACAAACAGCTGTTTTCAGCACAACCAAAAAATTAAGGTATAGTTTTAAACTACATCAAAAAGCTTTCAGCAGAATGTATGGTGGCAGTAGCCTCCCCACAAAAATTCCCACTGATATTTTCGAATTTCAAATCACTGCTGCAGATACCATCTCAACAACCACACACTCGGTCTCTGAGAATGCAGAAAACAAGAATTTGTTATCTAAATTGAGACAATTACATTTTCATCATTTATTACAGGAGGATTATTTATAAATTCAAGTTTCTCTCTTCCACATGAAATGCAACTCCTTCAGTTTCTTATGCCTAGCTATCGTATTTTAATTCAGCAATACATAAACACATAATATGGTACCTTGGGCAACAACCTTAAAACAGCAGAAATATCAACAAGTGCACTTGTGCTTCCAAGAAGGACGTGTCTTTCAGGGTGGTGTTAAAAGGAAGGAGAGGAGAACATACAGACAGCACAGCATTTATGGCACAAACCAATATATCTAAACCAGTACTCTGTTATTGATAGCACTCTTAGAACTCTTCCCTGTAGAAGATACTTTATGATTGTATATATTCTGTTAAAGGAAACAATAAAAGCCATTATTGAAGTAAACATTATTCAATATCTATCACCCAATAAGAAAAAAAAATCAATAAAAAACACTTCTGCAGAATACATACACATACTTACCTGGAAAAGTTCTTTAAATGAAGGGTGTACCATGGGATTAGGAACAAAAGGCAAGGCATAGAAGGGAAGAAACTCTGTTGTCTGGCTAAGTGCAGCCCCTTTTGTTTCTAGGTATGTTTTAAAGTGAGAAATCCTTTCCTCAAGCTCGGCTTTGTCCTGGGAAATAAAACACATTTATTTTGAACACAACTACTCTGAATGCACAATAGGCTGACCAATTGGAGACCTAAATTCAACATTATTTTCAAGTGTGAAATCTAAGAATAATTGTTATCTAAGTCACACAGCCAACCTAGGAAGTAATTTTCATTCCATTAGTAAGTATCACATCCTGATTCCCCCACTTAGAAGGAAAATCCTGTGGTTTCTGCTACCCAGGTCCAGAAAAGGACGAGGGCTGATTGCTCTGGAGTGTAAATTAGTCCTGCCCACTTCAGAGTAGATTTATAAAGCAGAGTGTCATTTCCACACTCAAAGCAGAGAGGAAATACTTACCTTACTTCAGACATGCTTCATTTATGTGAAAAATGCAGAACTGTAAAATCCACTCATACAGTATTGAGGAGAGAGGGGAGGAAGGAGACATCACTGGGTCAGCAACTGAACTGAGTGTACTATTTTCTTGGACAATTTCATTTTGAGATCTGCTTCACAGTAAGGTTTGCACTAAACTCAGAATACATACTATTAAAGTCATATGCATTACGAAAAGTTGTTCTCACACAAGACATTGATAAACTCTAGTAATAAAATCCCTCTGCTAAATTTTTCATCTTATTACTGCTGCTAACATCCCTTGCAGTCAACTCTGTCATATATTCGTTCACTGTTTCTGAATTAATATAAAGAAGCTGATTTTGGATCCAGAGGCTATATGAGGCATTCACATAATGCGAAGTCCACATCAGCTGGTAAATGTACTCCTACTCCAGGTCGGACATAGGGACAAGAAGCAGAACTGCCAGGTCAGTACTGCAAGTGCTCGATATCACTGCCTTTGAGAAGTCTGCCTTAGATCGGCTAAGACAAAGCACAAGCCCTGTTGCATCCTACCTGGCTCAACATTGAGCTCTCCCAAGGATCTGTGGGTGCTGGGGTAAAAAAAAAAACTCATAGTCAGGAACTGGAAAACACACTGAGGGCATCCAAGCACTTCTGCAAGTAGGTAAAGCAGGAACCTGGCAGATCTGGTAGCTTCAAGCTGCTTAAATGTCTCTTCATCATAAAAGCATCACCTAAGATATCCCAGCCCTATGTAATGGAGATTTTGTTTTATGACCATTTAAAATGATATCTTCAAACTTGGTACAGTGAGAGGGTCAAAATTCAACTTCCCCATTTTAACAGAAATGTTTCGTTGTCAACAAACAGCTTTGGTCCAAACTAAAAGCAAAAGTGTTTTAAGAATTTCCTACAGAACACAATTAAGAGAGGTGAAGGTATCAACATGCAGATATCAACATGAAAGTGTTTCAAGCAGTCCAAAGAAGGAAATCTATGAATTTCATCTCTGTACTTCTGTACATAGATGCACTGTACAGAGTTCTGTACAGAGTAGTACTACTGTGGAAAGGCCTGCTTTCATCCTTGAAGACTGCTGCCCAAAGACTGGATGTGAATTCTGGGAATCCTTACTAAGGACCCCGTCCTTATCCACACCAAAGATAAATACAGGAAGTAAAATAAACAAAAGCAATCTTAAATTCAAACCGTAAAGTAAACTTACAGGCTTCCCCACAGAGTGCTTCAAGAGGTAAGTGGCAAAGTGTATGTGAAGATAAAACTCCAGCTTCTGAGCAACCGGCTCACTGTCTCGAACCGAAGATGGTATATGCTCCTTCCAAAGGCAGAAGAAAACTTTCTGCTCTCCATTTTCAAATGCTGTCAGCAGATCTTCCTGCAGAAGGGAAAATTGCCCAGTGGGGAAAAAAAAAAAAAAAAAGAACACAGAAGAACTACACTTTTCAGCAGTGGATTTGTGTGAAGAATTTAAGAGCCATCTGAAGGCTTTCATTTAAAGTTTTATTCAAAACCTCTTACCATTCAAATGCCACACAAATATTCTTTCTCCACCTATTTTTACCCTATTTCAGAGCCTGAATAGGCCATCGATGCAAGGAGCAAAGCCTATATTTTCAGGTACATCTAATGAGTTTTGGGGTTCATGATGCTATAAGGAAAAATGAGTGCCTACAGTGTCTGAAAAAATCAGCCTTGTCAATGTACAGCAAGCTAAAAACTTAAAACAGTGTGAACTAAATCTATTTCTTCAAGTTCAAAAGGAATGGGGTTTTGTGTTAAAATGTTCCAGCACTGAAAGAAGACTGCTAACAGTCAAAATATCAAGAATCATTTCAGAGATCTAAAATGATCTCAATTGCTGTAATAAAACAAAAGGTGGTAAGTGGTCTATTTTGAGTATTAATTATTTAAAATAAGCGTCAATAGCATTACCTGAACAGTCAAAGTTTTTGAATCTCGCAGGGAAACCCCTGTTGATTTAGGCAGTGGCTTCCCTTTTGCCTTACATTCCTTCACAAATATCTTCACTGTTTCTTCAAATTCAGCAAAATCCAAATACTACAAGAAAAGCATAGGACAATAATTTTTTTAGATTATTATAATATTTAGATTAATAATGCTTCCAAGAGTGAACCATGAATCACCAAAGTCCTTTGAAGTTTCTGTGCTACATGACCTGTAAATACCAAAGACTGAACTGAAATATACTAGGAACTGGCATCTCATGCAGTAAGAAAATCTTGAGTCTCAAGCGAGGTCTCTCCTATATCCTAGACAATAATACTGACAATCTGAAGGAACAATGTCCCCTGATTTCTCTAATAACTACACTCAGCCAAAGAATAGAAGGGTTTAGAATCTATTAATTCAACATCTTAGTCGAAGAAACAAGCAAATAGCCTCCTTGCAAACCGTGTTCTCAGAGGGCAGAATTCTTAAGGAACACACAGCCATCATCTCTAAAACAGTCAGACTGTTTCACCTCTAAATTACACCACTCATAACAGCTGAAGGTGTCCAAGCAAGTCAAATTATCAACTAGCAAATCAAATGTTGATCTTTAGAAAACAAATGAACAGTCCTCTCCCTCCCACCCTCCCACCACTTACAACTACTAAATTACATGTTGCTTTGCTCTTCACTTAAGGCCCTAAGCCAGGCTATGAACACACGCTGACTAAAGGAACAAGCACTAACAAATAGCAGGCACATCACAGCTTGTGTTCTTGTTCCATATCATACTAAACATGTGGCCTGTTTTAGCCAATTTACCTGAAAGGCAGGAGGGAAGACTAGCAGAGAGATGTCCACTCTTTTAAATTTTGCTTTCCACTGTCTTTTTTATGGAATTATTTTTCTACTTTAAAATAACTTCTGATCTCACCTCTTACAGGCAGCATGGGTAGAGAAACATCTAATTGGATGACCCTGCTTTGATGTTAAACCTTGCAGACTGGTGGTCTGAGGACTTTTATATGGGCTTTATTAGCAAAAGCACTAGAGACCTCTGTGATTTTACGCAGTTAACACTGGTTAGAGGGTATCACTGGTCAGACCTGAGTACTACAGCTCTCTGTGGATCAAGTTACCTGTTCCCATTTAACAGAGCCTCATTTACAAGACTGACAGGTAATTCTAGACTGATTTAGTGGCTGACTGCTGGCCTTCAACAAACACGGAGTACCTGGAATTTACAGAGTGTGACAGACAGAAGTCAGCGCAATGGCAAGAAGAAGCAAATATTTTGATAAGTAAGTACAGAATTTAGATCACAGTCGTCACATCTCATTCCTGAATATGAGTACTATGAGGTCTCACCTTGCTCATTTCATACGGGAAGATTAAAAAAAAAAAAAAAAAAGGGAAAGCAAACCTCTCTGACTAGTCCGAGCAACTCAGCTTCATACGCCAGGACATCCCCCATCGCTAGGAGCCTCTGCGGAGCCTCATCGCTGGAAACCTGGCAAGCAGGAAGGCGGGCGGCGTCAGGAGGGGCGCGCGCAGCACAACCTGCCCCCCGCCCACCGCTC